GTACGAATGTGCACTTACTTTTGCTCCAGCTCGCGGCAGTGTTGGTCTATATGCTTATGGAGTTATACAATAGTAAGCGCACGCAAGTAGAACGCACCTCTATACTGTAGCGTCCGCAATTTGTGCTTCGGGGTGCTGTAGGTTTTGGTCTGTCCGCAACTAGCTGTTCAACTTGGATTAAGCGTGATATTAGTTAGCACCTCCACAAGGAGGTTCGCAATTCTAAGTAAGCCGTTGCTGGGTTACCTGGCTCTGATTGGAATAGGCTCCGTCTTGCAGTTGCCGTGTACGCAGTTCTTGGGAGAGAGGCAGGCGCTCTGGGTATTTGAGTGTCGTGAATTTATGGCTATTTGGTGCAGACTCGCAGGAGGACGGCGTCGCGGAGCTGCCTATGGCTTTTCAATCGTGTGCTGTCTTGCGCAGCAAGTATGCATTCAAGCAGTTTCGTGGAGCCATCATGATCATGCGTCCCATTCCGTTTCAGGCCTTCCGATGGTATGTACGGATGTCCATGTCCCTCCATTCATATTTATGGCGTAGTTGGGTGATAAGAAGGTTTCATTGTTGGATTAGCTGTGCGATGCTGTTGCATCTGCTCAGATGGAATATGTCGCCTGTTTGATATGCGTTTGTGTGACTTCGTCCGAAACGGCAATTCGTCAAACTCAATTGTAGGGGAAGTATATGTGCCTTGCAGTTCGGAGCAGGACGCAGCAGTGCCTACACGGTAGTTTGTGTCAAGCGTTGGGTATTATTGACAGCCAGCCGAGCAATGTTTGATGGTAGTTGTTCTGTGGCGGATGGGAATGATGGATGTTCGACGGTCGGTGAAGGGACGAACGACACGATTCCGTTACATGCATATAATGGCTGCAATGCACAAAAGATGGCGGAAAAAGTAACGCAGGCAGATGTGTCTGGCGTGTGAAAGTACATGAGCTATTCTGCGTCCGCAGTCAATGCAATTTAGGAGCGTGCCACTTGTGTGCTGCCGCGCAGGCCATCTCCCGTAGGCTTCCTTCCACCTTCGTTACAGTCGATCCTGGTACAGTGTCAAGCATTGAGTATCATTGACAGCCAGCCCAGGAATGTGTGATGGTAGTTGTTCTACGGTGGACGGGGATGGCGAGTGTTCGACCACCGCTGCAGGGACGAACAACACAATTCCAGTAAGTGCATGTAATGGCAGCACTGCACAAATGATGTCTTAAGAAGTAATTCCGGCAGATGCGTCTGGCTTGTGAGAGTATATTAGCTGTTCTCCGTTAGTAGTCGATGCAATTTAGGAGCATGCCACTTGTGTGCTGCTGCGCAGGCCATCTCGCGTAGGCTTCTTTCCATTTTGGTCACAGTTGATCCTGGTACAGAGTACAGCTTGGTGCCAGTAAAGGAGGCGAAACTTGTTGTGCATGTATATTTGCCTGATCTCGCTACATTCGGTAGGCTGCAGTGCTCCTGCGGCTGTTGTAACCTATGATTGTGTAGGTGGCATTGGTTCGAGCGAACTGTCTCGGGCCAGGGTCTTTGTAGCACATTACCATTTATAGAGGCAAGCCTAATGCAGCAATATCCTTGGTGAAGTTCCCAATTTTCGTTGACTTTGCACCAGCGTTTCGACAACGACTCCTTATCCACAAGTTGGCACGGTTTTGCAGTCGCTATTATAGTTTCGTATGGCTTACTTGCAGGGTTCCAGTAAACTGCACTTCCCGACAGACGTATCTCCCAGACGGTTAGGGGCTCTGAATATGTGAGGTTCATGGGTATATCCAAATTGTCTGCTAGCCTCTACGAGCGCACTGTGATGGCGCCTGCTCACGAGTTACGAGCGCTTGCTGCTTTACCCAGAAAGTATGGAAACAGCTGGCTGCTAGGAGTGCGGGGATTATTGTTTCAATCTGTCGGATGTCAAGGACTGACGGCTATCTGTATGGATGCATATTTATGATGTTTCCGTGTGACGACATAGGTGCTAAAGCGTGGTTATAGTTGGCATCTCCAGAAGGAGGATGGTTTTGCAGTAATCCAAAAGGTGTGCTGGCCTCTACGAGCGCAGTGTGATGAAGCCTGCTCACGCGATGCAAGCGCTCGCTGTCTTGCACAGAAAGTATGGAAATGGCTGGCTGCTAGAAATGCGAGGATTATTTGAGGAGCTGCGGATAGTTTTGCAATTAGAGCAGTGCATAGCGAGCAGGACTGTCCTGGAGCAAGTTTATCTTCCTGGTGCAGTTATTGTTAGAATATGCGCCAGCATCTCGGATGTCAAGTATGGTTGTCTATTTGCATGGACGCTGATTTATGATGTTTGAATGTGAGACGAATTAGGTGCTTTTGTAGGGTTGGACGCGTTGAATGCTCAATGCGGTTGGACGGAAGAGAGAATATCGTGCAGGTAACTGGCCTTGCGGGTTCATTTAAGCTATTTCATATTCGCACTAGGTGCAATTTATGAATTTGTCAATGGTGTGCTTTCGTGCAAGGCATCACCTAGCTCTTTGTTTCCAGCACAGTTCGCCTCTCGTGAGTCTCGGTCCAGATAGACGACACCTTAGGGCCAGTGCAGGAATCAGAACGCCTAGTGCCGCTAGATTGTTCTTGTTTGGCGATATTTGTTAATTTATGCAAGAAGCAGTGATTCGACTACGAGTTCTCATGTAACCAGCTGCACCGTTATTGAGCTTAGTAATGGAGTTGCATTTAGGTCTCCGGCCCCTGTTGGAAGCAGCTGCAGGTAGGTGTATACGCACTAGCTAGCGAACTTACATGTGTCGACATTCTGGGATATGGCTGGTTCTGATTTTTGGTTCTGACCACCAGCGGCATGGCACAGAAAGTATGCACCGCGAAGGTGTGTGCACCGCGAAGATGTGTGCACCGCGAAGGTGTCTATAATCCTTTTTCAGGCTTTCTCGTGGCGCGTATGGATGTGCACGTGCCTCAGTTCAGGCTATGTGACATAGCCGATGCCGGTGCTTGGCTGCATAGGAATAGTGTGAGACTGCAATTAGACTGCAATTACATATATATATATATATATATATATATAT